AATGGCAGCACCGGAAGGGGTCGGAGTGGACTTGGGAGCCGATGGACGAGATGATGGAGCATTACCCCGAGCTGTTTCAGGAACGAGCAGCAGACTTCGAGGACGAAGTCTAAATTAAGTGGGGGAGATTTGTAGCACCTGGTTCTTGGTACGTATTCTTTTTAGTAGTTCTTTAAATATTTTGCATTTTTGGCCTTGGACTCGGCGATTTGAAGGACCAACTCGCCGAGTAGAAGCGAGCGGGGACGCGAGATTTAAGCGATGGACTCGGCGAGTCGGGTCCCGGACTCGGCGAGTAGACCATGTCTAGACAAAAACCCTAATCCGAGGGTTTGCACCCTATTTAACACTTTAACTCGGCCTCCTTCGTCCCGTTTGCTCCCAGAAGACCCCCATAGCAAACCCTATCCGTTATTGAAGCAATCTAAGGCATTTGGAGTGACTTTGGTGCTTTTATGATCCAAGGAGGGAAGGAAAAGCTTGAGGGAACAAGAGGAGGCTAAAGGGATCCGAGTTTGTGCACCATTTTCAGCTCATTGAAGGTAAAAAGTCTGTACCTTGCTCTTCCATTTGATAGATCCCATTTTGTGAAGTTTTAGGGCTTTTCTAAGCCATTTTGGTCGCCAACCATGATTGCAAGCATGGTTAGGGGTTGAAGTTTCAGATCTAGGTCCTTGGAGGGGTTACAAGGCAGAAAGGAGTGGCTTTTGGCACTCAAGGAAGGCCCCATGCATTGTAGGAGCCATTTTAGGGCCTTTAGGCTCAAAAGTCCCATGCATGCACGTAAAGTTCGTAACTTTACGTGCTAGAACGGTCCTAGGAGCCTAGATCTACCTTTTGGACAAGTGTTGTACACCAGAAATCGAGAAAATGAGACTTGGACATACTCGACTCGGCGAGTCGTTCTTGGGACTCGGCGAGTCCGAGGCTTGACTCCCTTTTTTGATTTGGTTCAAGGACCCAGTTGAGTGTGGAAAGGTTTCAGGGAGGTCGCGGGGAGTGACCCAACGTTCTGGACTAAGCCATGGTTCTGGAATTCATGGGACTCGGCGAGTGCATGAACAGACTCGGCGAGTCCAAGGCAGTCTTCTTAAGATTAAAGATGAACTCGACGAGTTGTTCATACAACTCGACGAGTCAAGGACAGGACATGTTCATCAGTTGAAGATGAACTCGACGAGTTGTTCATACAACTCGGCGAGTCGGATGAAGATTCAGTAGATGTTCAATTAGAAGGAAAACTCGTCGAGTCATCGCCTAACTCGACGAGTAGAGACGAGTATAAGGTCAAATAGAAGGTTAGGGACTCAACGAGTTGGCGAACCAACTCGGCGAGTCAGGTCAACTGGAAGTTGACTTTGACTTTGACTTTGACTTGGTCAGGGGTAAAATGGTCATTTTACCCTAAAAGCAGTTGGCAGTGTATGACTAAGTGTTTTGTGGGAATTATAGCCGGAGGATTTCCGGAGTAGCAGCAGTAGCAGTCAGAGGATTTCCCGCACAGATCAGCAGCTACTACGAGGTGAGTTACCTTCCAGTAGCGGTGGGTCTACGGCCACAATATCGGCCCACCAGTAGGAGTTGTATGTTAGGTGATTGTCTTTGTGATATCATCTAGTTTTGCTACTACCTGATATGTTATATGCTGGCATGATATGTTATAAGTGATAGTAGTAGAGTTCGGTTGTAAGGACCGAAGGGTAGGTCAGACACCCTAGATATGTCTGACAGCATGTGATGATATGTTTATATGCTGGCATGCTATGTTATATGTGATAGTGGTAGTAGGAGGGGAATAGCCCCAAGTTCGGTTGTTAGGACCAACGGGTAGGTCAGCACCCCAGAATGGCTTGACATGGGTAGGTCAGCACCCCAGAATGGCTTGACACGGGTAGGTCGGCACCCCAGAATGACCGTATCGGGTAGGTCGGGCACCCCAGAATTGCCCGACAGTATGTATGCTATGTGTTTGTATGGTATGTGGTACAATGGGGGAACTCACTAAGCTTCGTGCTTATAGTTACAATTTTGTTTTCAGGTACCTCTTCATCGAAGGGGAAGGAGCTGGCGCGGTAGCGGCACATCATACACGCACAATGTTTTCCGCACCATGAGTTATTCTGGGATTTTGTACTCTGACATTATGGTTGTTCTTATGTTTTGGTTTTCAGACACGAAATATGTTTATGAAATGATATGATCAAACGATGTTTACTCACAAATGTTTTCCAAAGTATTGATTTAAAAATGAAATTTTTGGACGTGAAATATGGGATGTTACACCGCCTCAACCCAACCCCCGTCAAACAACCATGTGCACATAAAACAATTCATCACATAACAAATCCTTAACCAGACTATCAGTCTAACAGATCACATAGCATATCAACATCCTAACCAGGATTCCGACCTAACCGGTCACTAGCATAGCATTACCCTATATACCGGGTACCGACCTTAACCAGGTCACTAACATAACACCATCCTAAATACCAGGATGCAGATGTAGCAAAGCAATAACATAACAACAATACCCGAATTTCCATCCGATAAAGGGCCGGCCTTGGTGCCGTAGACCCTGTCGATATAGTGAGGATAACTCACCTGAAATGAAGAACCGAACCACGGAAGCACTGCTCCAAATTCCAACACCTATTGCCATCAATGGACCATTGACATAAATAACCAATTACCATAACACCCTTGAAGGTCAAAGTCAAAGTCCAGGCCAAAGTCAAACTTCCTGACTGACCCTACTCGCCGAGTCAACCCGTTGACTCGTCGAGTCCTTATACTCTGAAAACTCGTAGAACACGACTCAACTCGCCGAGTCACCCCAAGACTCGTCGAGTCCAACGATCTCCGAGTCCCATCCTGTCCAACTCACTGAGTCACCCCTCGACTCACTGATCTGCGTCTTAACCAGAAGAGGTTAGGTTCTGCGACCAGACTCGCCAAGTCCAAGAACAGACTCGCCGAGTCCAAGGCAATCTTCAACAGACTCGTCGAGTTGTTCTTCCAACTCGTCGGGTCCAAGGCAATCTTCATACAACTCGTCGAGTACACCCATGTGACTCGCCGAGTCTCTCCAGTTCTCAATCCATACAGAGGCTTTTCGAGCCATGCAGGGGGCTCCAATCCATATATCCACTCTTCTACAGTCTAACCCTCACATAAAGTTGCAAACTTTACGTGAAACCAAGGAGGTATAGGCCCAAATCACACTAGGGCTAGGGCTAAGGACTAGGGGGCTTCACCAACAACTCTTAAACAGAAGCTTTATGACATTTTGGACCATCACAAGCCTAGATCTGGAGTAGCAACCCCAGATCTAAACTCCAAACCCGAAATGGATCTCAAACAAGCCAAGGAACTCCAAATCAACCACCAAGGATGAACAAAAAAGGAAATAGCTTAGGATAATGGCTCCTTACCTCTGAGATGTGCCCAAAACTGAGGTAGATTCCAGATCTACACAAGCCCCTTGATGCTAGCCTCTAATTCCTCAAGCTCCTTCCACCAAATTCCTCTTCCAAGCTCCAATCTCCTCAATAATGAAGTCTCACACGAAATTAGGGTTTTCTGGAACTCTTTGGGGGAATAGGAGGCTGGGAGAAGGACATAAAGTCCTTTAAATAAGGTGCAACCCTCGGGATTAGGGTTTCTCATTCCAGCACCCCAACTCGTCGAGTACATCTTCCGACTCGGCGAGTTGGCCATTTAACCCGCGATCAAATCCCGCTCCGACTCGACGGGTAGCATACCTACTCGTCGAGTAGCTTCCTTAATTTACACTTAGCACCCTTCAACTTATTGCTTCCGAACTTGGGATGTTACATTTTTAAAACTTTACTTTTTTACTATTCAAAAAGTTATTTTAAAATACTTTTTTAGTTTATTAGCTTTTTAAAAAAACTAAGGGGGAAATTACTAATCTAGCCATTTTTGTTAATTATTTATCAAAAAATAGCCAAAAAATCTCACATAGCCAAAAATAGCCCACAAAACCATAGTCAACTTATGGTTGACTACGGTCAACGTGGTTGACTACTGTTTTAGCACGAAAAATACTATTTCGTGGTAATGGGCTATTGTTTCACGGACGCGTTTACTTTTTTGTGGCCCATTCGCCCAAAGTATAAAATGAAAAAAATTTCAGTTTAGGTCTTTTTTCCTATTGTTTTCTTAAGTTTGACTACTTTTTTTTCTCTCAATGGAGCACCCGAAAAACAACCAGGTTTGTCTACTTTTCATCAAATTTTTACCGTGTTTGTGATTAGGAGTAGGTTTTGTATATGTGGTTAAATTTTTTTTGAAAAAAAATCGAAAAAAAAAAATATAAAACCGTAGGTTTCATACGAAACCTACGGTGTACAAGTGCCCAATGCACAAATTGTACAATGTCGACTTGTACACCTACGGTTTCGTATGAACCGTACGGATTTTTTTTTAAATCGATTCAATAGCATCGGACTTTATTTATTTTGTATTCGTATAATTTAAAAAAAAAAAAAAAAAGAAACCGTAGGTTTTTTGAAAACCTACGGTGTACAAGCATTTACTGCACAGTTTGTGCAGTAAACACTTGTACACCGTAGGTTTCCCATAAAATACGTTTTTTTTTTTTTGACAAAACAGTAGTTTTTTTTGACAACACAGTAGTTAAAACCCCCAAAATAGTAGATTTAAAAAAAAAAAACGTATTTTTTTTTGACAAAACTGTAGCCTACGGTTAGGGAAACCGTAGATTTCGAGATACCTACGGTTTTATATGTTGAAAATGATTTTTTTTTTTAATACAAAAAACGAAACAGTAGACGAATTTGGGAAACAGTAGACGAAACTCGAAACCTACGGTTTCGTGGGCTATATTTGGACATTTACTAATTTTTGGCTAAAAATTGCTAATGACATTCTTAATTTGGCTAGATTAGTAATTACCAAAAAGAACTAATAAGCTATTTTAAAAGCACCCACTAATAATTTCAAAACTCATTTCCCAAACACCCCTAAACTCCACCTAAACTCCACTGGCGCGGCTTCGGCGTAAAACCCTCGCCCAAAAACCCCTATAGACACCTTTTGGATTTCTGTTTCTGACGATTTTTTCGTACAAATCTGAAATTTGAGCAGCGTCTCCTTTGTTTTTTGTATCGCTAAGATGGAATTCTGGTACGAAGATTGCAAATCGTTGTTGGAACAAGTTAATCTTCAAGAGAAGGAGCTTAGGAACAAGAGAAGGTTTGTATTTCAGCTGCTTTATTCTCCAAATCTTCTTCAACAATTGCGTTTATCTTTGTTTACTTTTTGCTCATATAATTTCTAATTCCTGGTTATTTCTGATGCTGTTTGAAACAAGGTGGTTAATCGGATTACCAACATCCGGAAACGAAGCTGGCAAACTAAAAGAATCTAAATCTCAACCTGAAAGGTACGCGAGATAGGATTCAGTTCTGTTTATTAACGTGAGTTTACTTTGAGTTAAAACGTAGCTATGTTTCTAAAAGCTCTATCTGACTACTTATTAGTTCAAATTTTAGTTCTACGTTCTATATTGAGGGGTTTGTTTAGACATGGATATTGAAAATGATATGATATTGAATCATTCATTCATCATCTCTAACAACAGATAGTTTTTAGACATTGTAATCATCATTTTTGATGGTGTTGAGTGAGGTTTAGGGTTGTAATTATTTAAGAAAGTAATAGACAAAACAATGGTAAAAGCAAGTTTACTCAACACTTTTGATAATTAGTTTGTTGCAGCTAGTATATTACTACTGAAAGCTGATTATCGACACTTAAATAATCAAATAACTGTACAATATATGCAGAAGTAGGCTACCCTTACCCAAGCACCAAAAACTCATTGTTGCAAGTTATATTATTGAAATCTGATTATTAACACTTATGTGTAGCATGTTTGATAGAGTCAACAAGCACAAAACTCAATCTGTTAATTCCTTTTTACTTAAAGAATGAATTAATAGAGGAGTTATAGAAATGAGGCTTTCCCCATTAAGTCCTTACTATTTACAAAATTGCCCTTGTAGTCCGTTCTCCATGTTGGTTACTCATTTTGTAAAACATTTTTTTAATGTGTGCAGGCCCATACCTGAATACCTACTTAGGGAAGATGATGTAAGTGTTATTTAATTTTGATGAAATTATTATTGGTTATTTTTTGTAATTTAGGAGCGGAAGGCAAAATTTGCTAATAATGCATATTATGTTACCACTTCTTCCTCATTTATAGCCCACAATCTTTTATTCACATCTCCTGATATTTCTCAATATTTGCCTTCAGGTATTCTATGAAACTATAAGATCTTTTGTCAAAAAGCTAGTTGAAGAACCTGAATCCAAAAACAAATACCAAATTCTTCATGATGACATGCAACTTATTCATTCACCTACAGACATTACAACTCTTCTATTCCTAATGGATGACATGACAAATCAAGGCCTTTTCCAATTTGCCAAACTACTGACAAGTGGTTCAATTAAATTTGAAAAAACCCGTTGGAAAATGAAACAAATCATCAAACAACACCTCTTGAAAAACAACACCCCAAAGATAAAACTATCTAATGATCATTTATCAGTACTCAAGAATCCGCAAAATTTCCGTTGGAATCCTGAATCCCGTTTCATTCCCGATTCCGGTTCTTCCCATTCCGCTGTTCATAAGATACTTAGCGTACTCGAAGATTTACCCCCTCAAACTCTTTCCGCCATGCATCGAAAACTCCGTGGTATCAAAGATTACATTCCGAAGTTAATCTCAAAAAGATCCGGATGGAATCGCGACGTGTTGATCAAACGTTTGAGAGAAAAGTGTTTAGGGTTCCTTTCGAAACTTAGTGAAGGAGATTCATTACAAGAACCATTAGCAAAAGCAATGGAAGTTGCAGGGTTGACTTTAAAGTTGATTCAAGGACATCACTATGCAACCAACTTCATTCAATTTTCACCCGAAATTATCTCTCTTCAAAACGAGATTGCAATGTGTATCAAACTAGTTGACCATATTGAACTAAAACTTTTAAAGAAAATACAAATTATAATCGACCCTGATGTGAAATTATCTGATTCGTCTATACGGGTTAAGAATTTGTTGATGGAATATCTTTTAGAGTGTAGTGATATTGAGAACATTCCACAGTCTTTATTTAAAGTTCTTGCTATTATAAAGAAAAGTCCTAAAGGTAAAAATAAACGTATGGTGGAAATGAAAGTAGATGAAGAAGTGGAATGTATTTTGAACGTTAGTGCTTCTATGAAGCAAGTTTTGTGGGATGTGATCCCGGAAGATGATTTTGACCTAGAGTTTGCTGATGTGTACATGGAGGATCATGGAGAAAGTGATGGTGATGATATTTGTGAAGATAATGAACAACATATGGAAAATAATGTGTCTAATTTCAGTGATTTCAATGAAGAAGTAGGAAGTACCGAGGAGATTGAGATCAAACTGTCTAATTCCGATTCCATGGCTGGAATCAGTTCGATGGAATCGGATTCCTTGAATAGTTTGAAAGTTACAAATTCAATGCCATATCACTTGGTGAGTTTTGGAAATATGGATACGGATCGAGTTTGTGATAAAGATTTATGTTTGGAAAGGAATTTGGTGTTTGATGATGATAGGGGTATTTGTGGAAATCGGTACCTTGGTGTACAAGTTGCTAGTGATGTGGTGAGTATGGTGGCGTATCGTGTCATTGGTCGTATGTTGGGTGATTTTGCACGAATGGAAGGATGTGAACTGAATTCCAGTGATTTATGCTATCTTGAAAGTGGAAGCAATGATTTAAATAAAAAATACAGTAAAGGTACTTCTAACTACTATCTTCACTTCCTTTTCCTTTTCCTTTTTTTTTTTTTTGCAATTTACCTTTTAGGGTATGTTTATTAGATGGAATGGAATGGAAAAGGTAATGGAATGAACCATTCCATTCCTTCTCCGAATCCATCATACCAAACACTACCTAAATAACCTTAAACAAATCCTTTGGTGTTAGATTACCTTTTATTTATGACTTTATTTGATTGATCCATTTAATAAATCTAAATCATATTTGGCAGCTGCGAGAAAAGAAAAAACTACTCCTGAGGAATATGACTGTTCAATCATGATTAAGGCAGTAGAAGAGCTAATTCCCTCTTTTCCTAAAAGGTATGCACTTTTAATAACTGAAATGCTTCATTTATATAATATGGTAAATATAAAAGATTCTTTATTTAAAAATGCGACAAAACTCTCAATCTCATGTCTATGAAAAATTGCAAATGACATGAATGTAATTAGAATACATTTTTGTTGGTTTTTATAAGGCTAAATGCAAGAAATAGCAACACACTTTTGAAAAACTAACTACTTTCATATCATTGTACTTCCAATTTTTTTGCTAGTTAAGGCATTGTACTTTGAAAAACTACCAAATTATAGCATTGTACTTTCAATTTTTTTTTCTTATTAGGACATTAGACTTTGGAAAATATTATCCAATTATAGCAATGAAAGTTACTTTGTATTCGGATGACATTGCTATAATTGAGTAGTTTTTTCAAAGTACAATGCTATAATAGGCAGAAATGAAAGTAGAGTAAATAAATGAAAGTAGAAGTACATTGGTATTTCTTGCATTTAAACTGTTTTTAGATCTTGATGTATAACAAATTACAAAGGTTATTATATTTGTTTATAGGCAAAAAATTACACCTTTTTGGCCTTTTTGCAAATAAATAACTTTTAGGGGGTTACTAGTAATATACAATAAAAAAAACCTTCAAAACCTCTCTTTTTTCAAGTATTACACCAAATCAAAAAAATTATTTTGCATAAAAGTCCACAGGGAGGCTTTGCTAATTGTACTATTAAACATATTTATGGATGTTATATCGTTACATTATCTTTTATTTGTATATAATTTTTATATGTCTTAAGTTTCTTTTTTCCTGAAAAATAAATGTTATCCAGTGAAGCAGATAGACTAAAGGAATTGATGGGTTGTAAATAAGCCTCTAAGAAAGAAGCTGATGACGAATCTATACTTTTGGTACAACATTTGAGGAATCAGGAACAATTTTGTGATGATTGACATGTAAATTTGGAAATGATTAAACATAATTTGCTCAGGGGCGTGTAGTTTTGTCCATAAATGGAAATGTGCTCTTTCTTTTTACTTGATAGACTTAATAGAGGCAAACTTTATTTGGTATTAGTGTTACGTTTGGCGTCATAGCTGAAACACTAGTCGATACCAAATTAGCTGATAAGCCAGCTGAAATATATAAAATAACAAAAAGACATTTAGAAGAATATGTTTTTTATAACAAAGCAGTAGGTCAAGCGGTTTGTCATCTCAGCGGGTTTATGAACCTGTTCAACCATTTATCAACCCATGCATTGAGTATTTATACTTTTTGCTTTAAGATTTGTATCAAAATAATTTTATATGTTTTTAAATTAGTTTTGTATGTTTTTAATATTTTGTAAATTAGTTTTGTATGTTTTTTATTAAAATTTGAATGAGTTGAGTGGGTTGGGACATACAACGTTTTTATGTGTTGTGGGTTGGGAAAGATGCAGTGTGAGTCCACTTCCCTCCCCTTCACTTACTTAGGCCTCCCGGTTGGGGCTAATATGAAACGTGTTAAGAATTGGTTCCGGTGATTGACAAATTTAAGGTGAAAGTATCCAAGTGGAAAGTTAAAAGTCTCTTGTTTGGAGGTCGGCTTATACTTGTAAACTTGGTTCTTAGTAGTCTTGAGCTTCATTATATCTCTTTTTAAGGCTCCTATAAAAGTTATTAATGTGTTATATAGCTTGAGAATGAGGTTTTTATGGGGAGGAGATGACAACAAGATAAACATCAATTGGGTTGCTTGGGATGTGGTTACAAAATCGAAAGCAATTGGAGGTCTTGGTGTTAGTTCTCTTGAGTTGATGGACTTGAGTCTTCTTGCTAAATGATGGAGGATAAAAATGGAGTATGATTCTTTTTGGTGTTCTTGTATCAAACCTATTCATGGTATTAAGTTGATTGATGGTAAGCCTTTAGCTTAAAAAATCGGTAAAATGTGTTTGGCTAGATATCTCTCAACTGGATGTGGCATTTGGTGAAAAATATAGACTTGAATTTTCTATTTAAAAGGAAGGTTTGCTTTGGGGATAAAACTCACTTTTAGGAAGGATGCTTGGTTTGGTGATGTTACTTTCAGAAAGCTTTTCCCTGAACTATATGTTATTGAATATTTTAAAGACTGTTTACTCAAAGATACGGTGAGAGTTAATGCCGAGATGGAGAATAATTATTGTTGGTGTTGGTCTAGGGAGCTTAGGAGAGGCCGTGGAATGAACCAATTTTTTGTTTTATATAATATTTTGAATGATTTTCAATTTAAGAATGAACAGGTGGGTTTGGAGTGCTGATGGCAAATGCGAGTTTTCTGTCAAATCTTTAAGGCCTCTTATGGATAAGTGTAGTACGGATTGTAATGATTTGTTTACTTGGGTTGGATGGATTCCTCTGAAGATAAATTGTTTTGTGTGAAGAATGATCATAAATAGAATTCCTTTATCAACAAACCTGAGGTGAGGTATAAGGGTGCCTTCCGGCTACTGCTCATTTTGTTGGGTCTTTGACGAAGAGTTGTACAATGTCTTTTTTTCATGTGATTATGTCTCACCTATTTGGAAATGGATGGTCGAGCGGTCGGAGGCTCTTCTTAGGCAACCAACTTCTTGTTTGGATTTAGTGGAGATGCTCACGGCGATCGATGGGGACACGAACAGTCAAAAGTTAAGGCTGTTTTTAGTTTACTGCACTATTTGGATGATTTGGAAAGCTAGAAATGCTTGTGTTTTCAAGAATGAAAGGTGGGTTGCATTGATTATCGGAGATGATATTAGCTTGTACACTTATAATGGGATCAAAAATAGATAACTGCTTAAATGATTGGTATATGTGGTGTAACTCTCCGCTATCTTGCTTGTAATGTACTAATTCTTGAGCTTCTCGCTTAAGTTGTGTTTCTAATATATTTTGTTTTGCCTGGTGTTAAAAAAATAAAGGAAAGATGGAAGAGAAAGAAGAGAAACTAATGTGATGATGTGATAGTGGTTTGGGAGAGAATGACTCCTCCACCCTTAAAATTTTGCCATTATTTATGTTTTCTTTTACTTTCCCAAATACGTTTTTTTTTCTTAAATTTTTACAACAAAATTGTAAAATTGCTCCCTCTAGTTTTTTAAAAATTATGGATAGAAATCAAAAAGCTTTCAACTTACATGGAAATTGAAAAGTCTAAAATTTAAAATTCCCCGTGATTTTGGTCCCTGGAATACTTAAAAAGATTGTCTTACTCTTTTATTTTAATTTTGAATTTCTTAATATTTCCATATTATTCAAATAAATTATTTAAAAAATAAAAAATAAGAAAGTGTCCACCCATCCCATGACCCCCTGTCTATCATCTATTTGTCGTCTTCTTCATTTCATATGCAAAAAAAACACACATATGTACATTTTTTTCATTAACCTGTAACTCAAACACACACACACATTGCGAATTTAAAGCGCAAAACCGACCCAACCCTCCATCATCGATGAACACATAAAAAATCAAGAACCTGCAACATTTTTTTGATCCATTCTAGCCTCGATGAAATCGCATCTCACTAATGAAGAATTGATTCGTTCCACATGGCTACATCTCTAGCTCTATGGACTGCCATACCCACAACCAATTTGGGTTTCATTTGTCTTCATCGGTCCAGATCTACAATGTAACAAGGGTATGCAATTGCATACCCTTGACCTCTTACAAGAAGTTGTGATATCTATGTTCAATAAAAATTATATATTGCAATTGCATAACCTCTTCAAAATATTTGCATACCCAAAAAACAAGAAAGTAGCTGATGAGGATAACATAGCTCCCTAGCTTATTTATCTTTTTAAAAAAATATCATTTTTATTGAAGAAAAATCACATCTCTAGACGCCGTCTCACCGATCCTAAAAAAAAATCAAAGTTATCCCTAAAAAAATCAAAAAACGTAATAAAACGTAATCATGGAAAAACATGACGAGACTATTTTTTAAGGGTTTTGCATATTTGATGTTTAAAAAAAATGCAATATTTGATAGAATATTGTTAACTAAGATCATTAACAAAGTATTATCATTGTATACTATCTTATTTTTGCAATTTAGTTTGTGAATATGGTTTTTGCAGTCGAGTTTTTGAAATTTAGAAACATTCATGTAATTTGTGAAATAATGAATAATTGACCTGTCCAATTTATTGAGTGAAAATGTAATTAATCATGATATTTTTTATTTAACATTATTGATTATGTTTTGACACATAAAATTTTATTTTGTGGATCAATCAAATGCATACCCTAATTTTTTCTTCTACAACCACCACTAATCTGGTCCTAAATTAACAAGATTTGAACTAGATTTTATCTTTCAAGCTTTCAACTTGGATCAACGCACACAATCAAAGCTCTGGGTTTAGGTTTACAAACCCCTAACAAACTTGGAATATATATATATATATATATATATATATATATATTATATATCTATATATATATATATATCTATATATATATATAATTGTTCTAACATAGAACAACGAAAGTATCTTTACTTTTTTATGAACGAAACACAGAAAATTACGACTTATTTTTATCGGTTAGCTACTTGATTATTGTTTGTAATGATTAAAAATCATTTACTTTTTTTAGTCATAATTATTCTACAAGGCAAAATGCAACAAAGTACATAAAAAGACAATATATTCTCAGTGTTTCAACATTTTACCCACTATTGTTATAATAATCATTCAAATCATGAAAAAGGAAATTGGCTTATCAGCGTAATTACATTTTCATTTTGTTTACATTTGAGTAACTTTTTTTGTACACATGTAGTTATGTAGCTAACGAACTTGTTGGAAGTGTTCACATATGACCATTATAACCAGTTGCAGCGAGTTACAACCTATGTGACATATATGTGACAACGATAATTACCCAATGGGTAATGAACTATTGATTTTGTTCACATCTAGGCAATTTTTTTGTTCTCATTCGACCATCCAACTTGTTGAAATTGTTCACATAATACAATTGTTTTAGAAATTTAAATCGGTAGTTGAACTTGAAGTTGTTCACATAATATCATTATTTCTGAAATCGAAACACTTTGTTCACTCTGACACAAGAACACAATTTGTTTTTAGGGTGGGGTTCGAACCAGACGATTAAACTTCAGTTTTACGATTATTATCCTAATGGAAGCTTGAGCTCATTCATCCATTGTGTTGGGACTGGGAAACGGGGAGCATAATGGGAGACTCGGTACGAGGTTTAATAAGTGGGAGAGCAGGAGAATAGGAGCCAACTAGGTTTCTAGTTTTGGTCTTTCGTAACAAGTCTAACCAGCCTAAAATCACCAAGGTGGGATTGTAGGTTCGGACCTGATAACACACTCATGGCTTTCACATCTCCATGTAAAATAACGAGCATTAAGTCATGATATAGATACACAAGAGCATGAGCTGTGTCTAGTATAACTTCGTATCTAGCCTCTTACTATGCTCCTCGTTTCCCTGTCCCACACACAATGGATAAGTGAGATCAAGCTTCCATTAGGGTAATAATCGCAAAACATAAGTTTAATCGTTTGGCTCAAACCCCACCCTAAGAAATAAACGATGTTTTTGTATCAGATCGAACAAAGTGTTTGGATTTTAGAAATAATGACATTATGTAAACAACTTCAACAAGTTAGATGAACAACTTTAACTACCGATATAGATTTCTGAAACAATGATATCATGTGAACAACTTCAACAAGTTTGTTGCATACATGTGTATAAAAAGAAATTACCTAAATATGAACAAAATGAAAAAATAATTACTCTGATAAGTCAATTTCCTTTAATAAAATAAAATAAGTACAATGTGTTTTTATATAGTTGTAATATTTTGGCTTTTAGGATGAAGTAATTAGTAAAATAATTTTTTAATGGACAAAAAGATATAATATTTTAAGCGTTATAAAAATTAGTTAAATCATAAATTGATAAATAATAAAGTTAAAAGTGCAATTTTTTTTATACATTTTAGCATTGGTGAAACCGCGACACTTTTTTTCTTATTATTTATTATGACATGTAAATAATATGTGTACAGGACAAA